AAAAAAAAAAAAGAGATTATGAAGAGCTTTTGGCCACTCCTTGTTCCACACCAAGATTTAAGGAAACCAGAATTTTGACTTTCTCTTCATGAATTCTAGAACAATTAAATAGCCTTATTCACTATTAAGATAAATCTGGCACCTGTGATCAGAGATCTTTCATAGAAAATATGCAAGTCTTTTGAGGAAACAAAATTTGGAGTTCCCCAACTCCAAACTGCATCATATTTAAAGAACTACCTAATATGAATGGAGATGTGTTAAAAAAAATTTAGACTGTGTTTGCTTTTAACAAGTTCAACCCAGATTAACTCTCCACTACAGCAGTACTACATTATCTCCTTTTCAAGTCCAGCATGGCATCCTAAATCTGTTCACCTACTACCTGTAAGCTTCGGTGGTGAAATAGAAAAAATCTCTGCCATTTATTCACATTAACTTTTATAGATTAGCTAATATAACCAGATCTTTTGTTGAGGTTCTTTAGTAACGCCATCAGACATCCAGAATCAAGTGTTAACTTACTTCTGAGAGAAGTGAACAATAACATTCTGCAAGAATCACCTTAGGCAGGCAGGAACCTTGAATCTCTGTACCTAGATATACTATAGAGCACATAAGTAATTTGAAATATAAATTTAGAATCAAGAACATACTTCTGAATGGTTGTGTCCAGAAGATTCAGACTTTTCTGCAATAGTTTTATGTACTGAAATACTGCTTTTCTGTTTTTTTTTTTTATAAAATGATAGACAAAATACTTCTGTTAGAATCTTACCTGTATCCGCAGAACATCATCTGTGCATTGCTTCTCTGTTTCTAAGACAGTAGATTTCAACTCTGAATTAGAAAAGAAGATACAGATTTTAAAAGTTCCGTATAAAAAACCACCACATTGCTCTTTCAAAATACGCATTAAGAATTTCATGAAAAGAGGGTAGAGTTAAAAAGAAAAGTGTTAACTGTCCCACTTTCCAAATTATCCATTTAAAATTAAATGAAGAGGTTGTATGCATAAATAAAGCCAGACTGATCTCAATTTGCAATGTATTTATTATGACGCATCATTAAGAGCTATCATCTTCAACGTGTAGCATATAAAACTTGAAAGAAGTCCATTTTGATTGTCAAAATTTCAGATTCAAAGAAAAATAGTTAGTTATGGCTCTATTATAAATATAAGGCCAAGAAAAAGTTCTCATGCTTGTTCTTCACATCCATTCTCATTAAGAAGTATTTCTGTCCTTAAAGTTTGCAGATTGTGTCTGTTCACGAAATGCCAAAGAACCCATGAGCAGGATAATGACTGTTGGCAGCTATGTCCTCTTTTTCATATCCTCCTCTGCCCTATGGTCAAAATTTGAGATGTCCATGATAAGATAGATAGCGATACAGATCTAAGCAATACAGATCTAAACTCACATTTTAAAACTGTGCTTGAAGGCAATTTACCTCACTACTGCAAATACATTTTAAGAAACCTCAGCTTCATCCTAGCTTTATTATTCACTGTTTACATCATCTCAGACTTACAAAGTGATGGTTTGGGATGGTACTATGTAAGTGTACAGTCAGAGCTTCCCAGAACTGGGGACATTCAAGCTGAGGATACAAAACTAATTCTTCGCCTTTGTACTGATTTCCACACCCTCTCTTCTGGGCATAGAACCAGCATTAATTTGACTTTTTGAATTTTGACTATGTTAGTCATTTACATTGAAAAAATGAAACAGCAGTACTTCATTCCAATAGTATCTTTTTCAATTATTTTCTACTTTGGAATAACTAATGAGAATCTTAATGAATATCTAAGCATTCCTTCACTTAATTACTACCTTTAAAAGGAGAAAAAAATTATTCTTCCCAGAGTGATGGTCTTAAACGGAACTACTGATCTCCAACTATCACTGTGATAATGAAAAATAAGATAGCAGTGAATAAGAACTTTTATCTGTGCGTTTTACCTGGAAAATGGGCATCAAAATATAACACCACGCCCACAATTGGATTTCCTTTCTTATTTTAAAACCTGAATAACAATTATTCTATCTACAAATACTAGTCTGAGATTTCTGTTTTCATAATCACATTTCAATTTAAATCAAAGTACAAAAGAAATTACATGACCATTTGCAGGAAGAGTGAAGCAGTTGTGGTCCAGAACCTCTGGATTCATAACTCCTAGACATTTGGCCTCCTCACAGCTTTCTGACAACCCCAGCTGTTGGAAGGCAAGACATACAAGGGCGAAGTTTCATTGCCAGTTGCAGATATGCTGCAAGGCTACCCCTTGAAAATTCATAATCCTCAACTTTTTACTTTTAAAATTGTTTATTAAAGCAGCATTTCAAGTCTGATCTTGTTGTTCTCTCTCATTGTTCCCAGTCATAGTAAGCTGGATGAGTCTAGGCTGTAATTAATAAGAAATAATTAATCATCTCTCATTTTGACAAGCATGGATCAATCATGCCTTGTTGCTGACTTTCAGATAAGTCTATTTACTGAAAAAAATTCAGAATGCTACCAATGAATTGGAAACTCACTCCTCATTGCAACCAAAAGAACCCCACCAAATCCAGTGAATTATTGTTTTCTGATAAAAGTTATTAATGTTCCTCCTGGAGGAAGGGAAGAGTATTAAAATTTTTAAACTAAGTAATTGTGAGATACTTGTTTTACAAATTATCTGGGAAAAAAAAACATTTTTGGCTAACTGTACCTCAGTTACTTTGCAAAACCAGGAAAACTTCAAAAGTATTTGGACATTGGTGATCTCTCCAAGGCCTGTGTACAAGGTTTTAGGCTTCTGTATGGTTGAGGGAAACTTTAAGATGAATTTGATCTTTGCTCACACCAGGTTTACTTCTTTGCTAATATTCTAGTACTAGACAAGACATGTACGCACATAATTTGGAAAGTAATGTTTCCTGTTGTACAAATTGGCACAATCTCCCTTACTCAAAAGTTCTTCAAAATATAGGAACAGGCTGCTCCTACATATATTTATCAATATTTAACAATTTGACAGAATTGTCTACTTTATTTTTACCTCAGACAGATTTTGATCTAAAAAGGGTTTCAAACAGAAGTTGAATTTAGGGTGATATGAGCAATTAATTTTAAACTTAGTTTGCCAAAATTCACCAAATACAATCTATTTGCAGCAAAACTGAATTTTATCTTTGTTAAACAAAACTAAAAAAAGAAAACACAACACAAAACCAAAAACAACCACCACCACTACAAAAAAAAAAAAAAAAGAGTTAAGGAAAGAAAAAAGTGCTATACGACAAATGAAACCCCCACTCTAACTCAAACCAAAAACTTCTTTACCCCCCCCTCCTCATTTTTCATAAAACAAAAGAAAATAATTGTCTGGACAAGCCTAGTTGTGTTAAAGAGACTAATTTAGAATTTGGGGTGCAAACCCACACAGAGATTTAGTGTGTTGGAACTGTTTCATTTTGCAGAAGTTGTATAATCTTTGTGTCTCTGCCCAGGTGGTTAAGACAGTCACATGAGAGACAGGATGACTGGGTTCTAGTGCCTGCATACTTGCCGTTTTCTGTATGTTAAGTGGAATAGTGTCATCAGCAAAACATTAAAATAATTGAATATCAATAACCCTGTTGTGTTTAGATTCAGGTTTCAGACGCCTTAAGAAGCAACAGAAACACATTTTGAATATTCAGATGGAAAATTAGTGGCATACACATTGATCTTACTGGTGATATTGGACTCGTTTTGTCCAAAAACTTTACTGAATCTAGAACTGAAAAATGGTTTTGGCATAAGTACCTGCTGATTTGAACCCAAATTCATATTAAGTCTTTCCAAACTTCAATTTTTTAATAAATAGCCAACCTAAAAACAACTCACCCCAAACTAAAAAAAAAAAAACAACCCAACCAATCTGGAAAAAAAAAAAACCAAAAAAAACCCTGATCACTCTAATAGCCCTTTCGTCACAGCCAAAACCGCTCCATATGACATAAAGCACACAGCAAGACTATTTAATATATACTATATTAAACAGATGATTAACTACTTTGCTAATTTAGGAACAGATTACCTAAAACCTTCCAGAATTTCCTCTTGCTTTACTTAAAACTTGAAGGCCTATCATAGTCTTCACACTAACGTGTGCAATAAAGACTCTAGATATAAAAACATCCTGCTACATTCCTCTGCGGATCAATACTTCAATCCAAAATGGACGTTTTTGTTTATAATCCATTGTCTCTAATGTAAATATTGTATCCGTTTAATCCATGCAGCAATAACTAAATATAGTGTAAAGTACAGCTACTCTGCACACAATAATTTAAAACCCTTAAAACATGCTTGCTCCCTCTAGCTTTCAAAGGTGCTTACACATAAAATAATTTAGTTACAGATCTTGGGGAAAGCGTTTATCTTTCAGGCTTCACATGAAACATCACTCACCTCCAGGTTCTTCCATATGGCAAGCATGCAAACAATCAAAGTTAAATTATTTATCTACCTAAATTGTATTCAGAACCATTATAACTTTTTCCTTTTCCCTCCATGCCCTATACTGTAAATTCATGCTAAAAAAAAAATAATTCAATAATATGTTTGTGTCAGCACCTCAAGTAAATTTTGAGAACTATTTATGTTCCATTGAGTCACAATACACAATTTTCAATTTTAGTTCTAATTCTATTTTCTTAATATTTTTGCAGTTTTTGAGAAGGCAGTGGCTGAGATAAGGAATAGAGAAGTACTGTACACATTACATCCATGTAGTAGCTATAATATTAAATAGAATAGCATAGGATGGAAACAAACCATGTATAAAATGAATACATTTAAAGATTATTAGTACAATCCTCTTCTAAGTTAATAAAAATAGTAAAATCTTAAAATTTCAAAATATTTTATGTAATCAATGTTCTTCTAGCTTTTACAGCAACAAAACGGCTGTTAAGTTGCACCAGCCTCTGCCAGGCTAAAACCCCAAAGTAAAATAATAAAATATTCAGCCTTTTGTGTTTCCAGTGCAAAGCATATTCATAAATACTCTGATCACATGTCTATTAGCTAAATCTCCAAGTTGAAAAACACAACCTGTCCTCTCAGAGTACAGGGCAATGAATTCTACTACCACATATGACAGCACTTTCACTGAACACAGCAGAAAAATAGTAGATCATTAGTCAAAAACTGGACCAGCCTAACAGTCCAGTAATGCAGTGTTCCACACTGTGAACTGCATCAATGAGATGGATGCAGGAATGTTTCCTTGACCACTAATTAAGCTGCTTTGGTAAAAGCCACAACATAAAGAGAATAATATAGTAGTATTGTGTTTTTGTTGGAATCACTATTTCACTTGTGAACACCAGAATAAGTGATACCAGTAAAAGCAAAGTGTTGTCATGATAAATGGTGTCCATGCAAGGAATACTTTTCTTGTGTTCCAGAGGAAGCAGTAAAGAAGTCCCAAAGAGAAGCAAATCTGAAATTAACTCCACCCAAAGACTATAAGCAATACAAAGAGATCTGTTGAAATAATGACTTAATTCTTCAAATCTGAGCAATAAAAAAAGGAGTGGTAAGAAATGGAAAATTTGAGAATACCCAGTGGCTCTCCAAGGAGGTCATGGGGATGAATGCAGCCTAAAAGTGTTGAGAGCTGTTGAATACTAACTAATGTAAAGCTAAGTCTCCAAGAACCTGTGGTATTTGCCCATCAACACTACTAACAGAAAACAGGTTTGAAATCCTCTTCTAAATTTCTCTGTCAGCTACAAGATGTTTTTTTTCCTTTTGTTTTAATTCTCAGCTTAAACAAGGGTTTTAATGAGTATGCAGAATATTTCAGAAATTTGGCTGGTAGAGTAACCTCACAAATTTTAAGATTAACTGACTTTCTAAACAAGACCTCAATTTATTTTTCAGATACACTTTTCCTACCTCTCTGTCAGCAGGGGACTGCTGAATCCACATAGGAATAACTCACACCACTCTAATAACTTTCAGTATACCACCAGTGGGCTTCTGAAGTTTTCCATATTTTTAAGAAAAGTACCCATATTTCATGGCTCTGAAGGTATGTAAACTGGAAAAGAACAAAGGTCATAACACCTGGTAAAATCCACTAGTCAGCAGATGCCAGGTGCACATATGGGTTGTTAACAAAAAGCATGCATTTTTGTTGAATATTAGACTCATACTAGCTAACATTATTTCTGATGCTAATCCAAGATTTTCAAAATCAGGTATTTGTTAGAAGTTAATACCTTAAGTTTATGTCTGAGATTCTAAAAGACCACAGCTCCCCCTCATGCCATACATATATCTTGTCTGTGTCCAAGAACTATACCTTCTTCCGTAATTTTGAGTCTTTGTTCTTCATCTGGAGGTTTGGGTGGGGGCCACGCAGATGGAATTCTCCTTGGAAAGCTTCCTTCGACGTAATCTGATGAATGTGTGGGTTGGCTAACTGCAGCCCATGTATAAAGCTGGTCTTGCTGTGGTTATTAAAAAAAAAATAATTGAGAAGTTCATATAAAAAGACAAGCTCATAGCATCGAAGCCTTTGTTTCCAACACAAATAGCTCAATACACACCCTTATAGCAAGGCAGACTTGTTTTCATGCTATTCATCTCCCGACAAAGACTTAACATAAATCTATATTAAAGGAGTTAAATGTTTCAGTTTTCGAATTACCTCTATTAACAATAGAAAATCTAATCTTTTAGTTATCTACAGCACAATGAGATGCTAGAATACAGTTCAGCACTTCTTTTGAGCATGAGGAACTCTTTACCACTTCTTTCCTTAAAGAGATAATAGGTTCTGTTCATCATGACTGTAATTCTTTACGTACAGTTAGTTTATAGGTTAGAGAAAAATATTTCAGTCCAAACTATGTAATCTTTTTACATCAAATGTACAAGGAAGGAAAAGAAGCAGGACTATTTTAGCACAAATTTAACTGAGATATTTATTCTTTGCAACTGTGTTTGTCATTTACAATTCTATAAGCCTAGAAAGGCAGCTAAAAAGGTGGGTTTGCTTTTAAAATAAAATTATATTAAAAAAATCCCAACAGCTAAAAGTATTCTCAATTCTCTGAGTTCAAATCAGATTATATCCTTACTACGCAATAGGTTTGAGTTTGATTTACTTATTAAAAGTAGGAGACAAAACTAGGGCACTCATGCTTTAAGTCAACAAAGATTTTAGCTGACAATTCAATTAGTTATTCTTGTGACTCCCAGTATGCATCAATAAGTGATTAAACCTTTATAATACTGAAAACTCTATAAAGATCAACCACAACAACTGCATGAGTATCCTAGTAAGTGACCTAGAAATATGAAAATATTGAAGTTCAAAAATGGAAAACAAAGAATCAAGTCACAGGATGAAAATACAGTTGTAACACACAGTAATATCTTCTTTCAAAGATCACGTTCATTATGCTTCATTCACTGTATTGTCTGAGTAAAAGATTGGTAATATATATATTTGTCCTGCTGCATAGTTCATTTTCAACTTTTTTTTTTAACTTTTACACAGATACTAAACATTGAAGAGACATGCAGAGGGAAGAACAAAATTTAACACTTTTTGGGGATAATCATTATTCTATGTGACTAAGATTCTACTCACCTAAAAATAAGTTGTGATAAGAGTGATAACATTCTATTGAGACCAACTTATTTAGAACAGAAAAATACTAGTTATAAAGTAAAAAGTTTTGGTTTACAGAGGGTGCCTCAAACAGTCAGGATCTAAAGAAGCTCATTAGATCTTTCCAGCATGAAAAACATGGCAAAAATCCAGCCACACACATAGAACTCAGTAAAGGTAAAAGTAAATGGATAAAAAGCTTAATACAAAAATCACATTACGTTCTTTACACAGCCCTGAACTCTATGTTCCTTGAAAAGCCTATCCTTTTCCCATTACTATGCTACTGCATTTGAACATCCAAACAGGCTTGACTAAAGCAATCCTTTCAATAACTTAGTACTTTCCCTTTGTCTAATTCCAGCTTTTTAGAGGATATGTATTTTTGGGTTTCTGCCGGATTTCCAGTACTGTACATACTGTGTAAAGAAAAAGAAAACGTGCTGATTTTGCTATTTGTCTCATTTCTATATCATCCAAATCTCAAAAACACAGAGGAAAATAAGATTCAAAAAAGTCACCGAGGCAAAACAGAACAAAATTTTTTTGCCAACTCTAATACCTTACACAGTCCACAGGGAAGAACTCTACAGAGTTAGCTGGGTAAACACAGTTGACTTTCAATGGGATTACATGTAGGGCTATAGGGCAATAAAACAGAAGACAGACTGTAGATAGTATTGACATAGCATGAATGAGGAAGACCAACAGTTAAACCGTTTCTGAACATGATATTTCACCATGTGAGTCCTTGAAAGATATAGCACAATTGTTTAACAACAAATTTTTGAAGTATGATTAGTCTACACAAATTAAGATGTATTATAAAAACCAACACAGTATGACTCAGAATTATTGTACAGATGGGAGACATTACGAGAGTAATAAAACATGAAGTACCTATGTTCTTGCTGATAGAATTTACAGCATATAAACTATGAACAGTTATAAATTAACATGACACAACTCCATAAACGACTCCTAACCCAGCATGAGAAATTTGTTTGTGAGTATAAAAGCCAGTATTTTTTGGTTTGTGCTGTTTTTTGTTTTGGGATTCTTTTCATTCACTATTCAACATCGAGAAGCATGACAGAATAGACTCATTATGAAATAGAAATTTACAGAGGTAAACGTAAACTCGCAAAAATGCCCTGAAGGGACTTCGCTGCAACCGAAATGTTAACTACCTTGCTTGTACGTTGAACACAGATACAACAGCTACATTCAGATTACTTGAAGACTTAAAAACATAATTTAAAATATGAAAAATCCTCATGACAGAAAGGTAGTCTGAAGGTCTGGACTTCAAGTTGATAGTCCATAAACTACACTTAAAAAGGGAAAAGCTTAACCCTGCCTCCACTTTCCTGCCCTTCAAAAGAGATGAATCATTTGAATGTCCTAATTCCTCCTCGCTCAAGATACTGTCCAAAAGCTAATCCTTTCCATCTTTTGTCTTTAACTCCTTGTCAGTTAATATAACAACCCACCTCATTTCTGCTTTTGCAAATCTGATAATGCCATAAATTTGCATGATTATTAGAACATTTTGAAGAAAGATAGATGCAGCCAATTTTATGATGCTGAAGAACTATTCAAGTAAAGGAAACAAAATAATACAAATTAAAAAGTCCAGATTTGCTTTTATCATTAATAATTGTCATACAAGCATCCATGAACCTCCATCTCCATCCAACTTTTCCTCCTTTAATCTTTTCGTTTCAGAGGCAATTTTCACTAGATGTCATTGTAAATACAGCAAGTGAATATTCTTACCGTGATCGAGCTTTGAATATATCTTGAATTTCCACTTCATCTATTTAGTGCTTAAAGCACTTCTTTTTTTGGGGAAAAAAAATATTAAAAATCCTTGTAACGAACAATTCCAGTCAAATTTATTCAGATTCATTTCTGGGCAGACGGTGAAAGCTTAATGCTGTCTGAGTCTAGTGCACTAAACATGATGTCAAGATGAGTTCTCATTTCCACAGATCCTTACACAGCACTTTCCACTGGTTCTTAAAAATGCAGAGCATTCGCACATGGGCGAGGCAAACTGCCTGCAGCATCTGATGGTACCTAATCAATAGACATTTTACCACTTATAGATGCTAGCGTTTAGAATAGAGTCATGGAGAGTCAGGTCTGTAGTTTAACTCACTGTATTCCCAACCAGGTCTCAGTAGGCACAAAGAATGGATTTTTGTAGCAAATTTTCATTCTCAGGTACCACTGCGTTACATTTCAGGTACATATTGAGTATTAGTATTGTTCCTTCAGTGCTTAAGCTAAAGATATTCTTTCCTACTCATCTTTAAAGGAAGCCAGTGCTGTAAACTACTCAAAGTAAGGGTCTCTAGAAAATGACGTATAGGAAGAGGCTGGAGGACCTAGAACTAGGGTCATGAGCTAGACCTGCAGCCAACATCAGAAGGTATACTGATGGACCTTGAGCTTTCAGAAAAGAGGTCACACATTTTTCAGAGACCAGGTTCATTCCCCGGGCCACAGTCTGAATTAGAGGTTAGTATATCCCCCACTGTAGGAACACAATATGCAACCTTGAACCTGTGCTCTTGGCAGCTGTATTGCTCCTGAAGATATGCAGGTAATATGACCTCTTTAACACGACTTCAGTTTTCAATCAACTGTTCATCTGCTTCCAGTTCCAAGTATAAAGACAGCCATTGTGAGAAATCCTTAAAAGAGGTACAAGAGATAGGGTTGAAACGGTGATAATATATACACATCTGTCCAAATTGCTTGCAAAACCATGAATTAGCAATGTAAGAATCAAGGGGAAGAAAAAAATCTGACCAGAAATATGTTGACAGTTCTCAAGGGAAAACAAAAAGTGCAGTCAGATCATACATGGTGAGATGGGAAAGGCTGGGCAATACAGTAGCACACTGCTATCAGGAATAGCCTTTGCTCTTCAGCTCAGCACAGCAGGAGACAGGGGAAGCACTTTAGCAGTGCTACTGATCTTTCTACACTAGAGTGAATTGGTGCCGACTTCCCTGATGGCTTCTGTGTTAAGCCATGATGGAATCAGGCCCTATATTGCAGGACATTTATTTTCAAGTAGTAAACTTGAACATTTTTTCACTAGAACCTCAAACATTCAAAGTTATCCTGAAGAGGGGAGGGCAGAAGGGTTGGCATGTCCGCAGACAGGTATAAACGGGCCAGGGACAAACAGAGTAGTAGTTAACAAGAAGGTTCTTGCTCATCAGATCAGTCTGCATGTGGACAGCCTTCTAATGGGAAGAGCTAGAGGAGTGGGGAGAAGAAAAAATAGAGCTTAATTTAAGATTAAATTAGACAAACTCACAGAGGAATTACATTTTATGGTACTTGAGATAAGCAGGGGCCAGACCCCATGACTCAGAAGGTGTCAGACTTTTCACGCTAAGAACTCTGAGCTTGTTCACATTTATATATAGCTCCTTGTCATTTAGACTGTTGGAAGGATTTTTTTTTTTTCCCCCCATTCAGGAAATTTAATCATTCTATTATACTAGGTACACAACTTTTAAAATTAAAGAAAGTCAATCGCATGTTCCCACTGCATATAAATAGTTAACTGGACAAGCAAGGTTGTAGTTTGAGAAATTAGAGCCAGACTACCTCAAAACGCTCTTATCAGCAGGAGACTGCTTTATTTTAAGCAGCTTTTAAAATAAAGAAATCAATACTATCAAGAATGGAGAAAGTGGTTTACTTTTTGAGGAGAGGTTCAGTAACAAAGCTCTGTCTGACCACTGACAGAACCAGAGCAGTGATTAAACATGGTTCTCGGCTCGTGCTGCGTTTGGCTGTACTAGT